TATGGTAGTCTCGATAATCAAACAGTCCTGCTGATCGGATTTATTTCTTATGACGACTTGATAACAATACTGAAGCATTATATAAAAATCACTGTCAGATCACTGAAACATGATCGATTACTGCCTGTTGGATCGAAACAGATCCAAGTGTTTGAATCTCGCGCGGCTAGTTCGGCCGTTGACAAACTTCTCAGACAAATACGTGTCTGAAGTAATTAACGCCGCTGACCACGATGCGTTGTCGGCGTTAGACAAAAAAATGAGGTTTTACATGAAATTTGCAGAAAGAAACCGAGTCTCATTCAATTGTATGGAAAGCATCCACGACGCATCGTCTCCATTGTATTTGCAACCTTGCTACATTAAAGGTACGCAATTAGCACAAAATAATAACGCATAACATAAAATTATCTAAATTATAAAGGTTACCGTTAAACGGTATTGCCGATGACGAGTCAACGTCGTAATCCGAATTATAGCAATCATCCATGATCCGTAGAATGATTACGCAATACGCAATCATTCTGGCACACATACATGAACACACAATTTACACACTCACATGCATGCATGTATTTTTTAATTTAAAATATATTTTACGAGCATTTTGAGCGCAAGGTCTTTTTTCCTCGGGATTTACCCCCAAATATCGTTGTTTTTATTTACTAACACGTTTATTTGCATTTTATTATCTGAATCACGTAACTCAAGAAATAACTTCAGTTCCGACTGACTGTTACACTGCTACACAGACTGTTTCCCTTCACAAGAAAGAAATGGTAATGTTAATACAAATTCTAAAATGTGTTTAGAAATAGCGATTATATATGTAAAAAATAACATTATATTATCCTTTAAAGCTTAAAGATATCGTCAAATGCAGCCAATTTATGAATATTAAAAAATTATTGTTCGATCACTCAGCCATGCCCAGCTACTAACAAAAAGACAATTGTCCTACACAGGGAAGAATTGCTAACGCTAATAAACATATTGAAATGAGCTTTATTTGGTTTCGATGATTCGAAATATAACCAGAAGATCGTTTAAGACTACTCGATAAATTACTCATTGATATTATCTACACCTTTCGGTACGTACCTGGAGAAATTAATTCGAAGAAATGGCACTCAGCATTATCATTGGAACACGCAATTATTCCAAGATGCACGACCAGCTCTTTAGCTCTTTTCCACGGTTTCCGTCATACGTGGCTGCGTCGGAAGTGGCAGGTATAATAAAATCGTGACACGTATCGTGCGTGCCTGCAAAAACATATTTTTCATCGCGTTCCAGGAAGTTCGCTTATTAAGGGGCTCTCTGTTTCTCTCGCTCTTGGAGAGACGCGATCGCCAGACACCTCTCAGCCTTAACCGTCGAATAAAACGTGCGATGAATGGTCGGCCCGACAAATGAGGCAGTAAATTCCCTTGGATATAACCGAAAGTTCCGCGGATCTCGCGTCTGCGTTTCTGCAACTCGAAACTCACCATGAAAGACGCTGCGACGCGACGCGTCGAATGTAACGCGGGAAATTAACTTTCGCCCGCCAGTTTTTATTAAGTGATCGTTTAATCCAGTGTTATCAACCCTTCTTCAAAAGTTGAATTTACTTTATATCTTCCTGACATAAATTAAAACCGTCTTTTACAAGGCCGTGTTTACGTTTTGACATCATCTATATAATATAATTTAAATATTAGGAGGTTGCATTGAAAGCCGCTGTTTATGTATACGTGGATTTTACTGGGAATACTGTAGACAGTGAGAGCCGTCGTATATTATGAGTTGTTAAAATCACATGAAACAGTCACTGCCGAACGTTATTGCCAACAATTGAAGCATTTACACGACAATTTGATAGAAAAACGACCATCACTTGCATTAAATCGCCGAAAAGTGATCCTTCTTCATGACAATCCTCGGACTCATGCTGCTAGAACTGTAAAAGAAACACTGATGGAGTTCGAATGGGAGATTCTCCCTCACCCAACCTATTCTATCATTTGTTCAGATCAATGCAACATGGTTTGGAAGTCACACATTTCCGTAATTACGAAGAAGTTGGAAATTGGGTTGCTGAATGGATAAGCTCGAAAGATGAACCGTTCTTTCGTCGCGGAATTCAACTTTTGCCAGAAAAGTGGGAAAATGTAGTAGCTTTTGAGGGCAAACATTTCGATTGATACTTTTATATACTTTACTATTCAAATAAATGCTCAAAAAACACGTAGAAATAGCGGCTTTCAATGCAACCTCCTAATAGTTTCGTGATTTCCAACTTAAGCCTTTTTTACGTTACTACTAAAATGATGAATCAAGAATAGATACGAAAAACGTTATCGAGATTTTCGTGGGTTCACGTGGGTTTTCTTCACAATATTTTGTATTTAATGGTATTAAATAGATCATTGTCTCGCGTAGGATTATTTATTCATAAATAAGAAATCCAATGAAATTGATGGTTCTTTTATTTTTTATAGACGAAAGCTGAATAAAAGTGATAATTATTGTTCATAAAAACTGTCATTGATGAAATACTTTGATCCTACTTTTCAGGAATTAAATGGGTATAATCTAATGAATCTAAAGGATGATACACGAAAAGAAGGGAAAAGAAGAGTACATATGTTGTTATTCATGTTTATTAATGAAAATGAATATTTTGTTTCACAGGTAATAAGTATATATACATCTAAGGGTTTTAAAAACCACGTAGAGTTAAGCTTACTGCAATGTATTGTTTAAATTGTACGTGTTCAAAATTAAGCAGTATTAAATTTAACAGTTGGACGGATCTATTATACTAGCAATCTAATGTTTAGTTATAAAGAAGTCTGCAGACAAAGGCAATTTCTATCCTTACCTAGCTTAACATATCATCAGATTTTGCATATGTCGATCGGTTAGAGGCCACTGCCATAATACGTGATCGAGGAAATGATCATTTAGTTGCTCTTTGTATGACCTACTAATGAAATCAACTATCTTATGTTGCAGTAAATTTGTTAAGTACACTATTAACGTTTATAGTCGACATTGATTCCAGTTCTAATTTTACAGATGTTTCTAGAAATAAAGAAGTTTAGCATATAACAGTTAGCATTAGCCTGTTTAATGCCAGTATAGACATATGAAGCAATCACAAGGCTGGTTTCATCCCACACTGTCGTTGCCAAAATCACTTTTCACTATTACAACAAAATTTTTAGACAAATAAGAGCGGTTATTTTACAAGCATAAACTCGTGTTTCTATAGTTGAAACTACAAAAAGTAGATCATTAACAAGAAGAAGTTGGGAGGAGCCAATTGTTACTGACAATAGGATCTCCCTACGTTACAATACGTTGGTAGCATTGCTCCTTTTTGGCGATGCGTTGTGTTTTTGTTTAATGCATCACCTTGCATATGCGCTTCGCGTCGCGTCCTTTCCTTGCTATGTAATATCAATTTGTAATTTAACTTTTCATAAAAAACTATATGTATTAAATCAAATATGCGTAAACTCTGTCACAGCATAACACAGTAACAAAGAATTATGCCACGCGCGCATTATGACAGTATCAGCGGATATACCTTTCGATTATGATCTCGATTAACTCGTTCACAGCACTTAAGCTAATTCTATACCTAAAGCGGAAAACCTATTTCCCTGATCTCTTAATGTCACGTACAACTCTTGGGTTCTTTACGTTAACAAAATTATTTGCTCGGCTATTGTATACTCTTGCAATTGTTTAATTTACTAAGGTCTAAATTATTATACGATTCCCTATCACTTTCAAATCTTTTATACAAACAGGAAAGATTATTTGTTTGTAGCAGATAAGGAAACATGGATAGAAATTCAATATCATAAAATTTCTATTTCCTCGCTACACAAGGAACCGCATACGTACGTCTATTTTCATAGCAAAAGCTAGAATATACTAGAATTGTTATTGGTGTTCGAGCGGTTCTATACTCTACCTACGCCAAATGTAAAAATAGTTTATCCAAAACAGTATATCATTTGTGTAAAAACAAATCTACCAATTTTACTTGAATTATATGTATCTGCAAAAGATCTAATAAACATACATCACGAATAGTACGTCGTAAGCGCGATAACCTTGGATGGGATTACACCTAATGGGATGTGCACCGTAAAACTGTGAATTTAAGAGTTGAAATAATTACCATAAACTATAGGCAAATATATGAAGAATTTTTAAAAAATATAAAATTATCGAAAGAGTCTATTTTTAGCTTTCAGAAATTTGTCTGTTTAAAACTCTGACAATATGAGTATACTTTCATTATTTTGCGTTATAAAATAATTCTTATTCAGCGACACCTTGACCTTGCCTGACCACGCCAAGCATTTGACTACCAGACCGCGGAAATCTAGGCAAAGCATCTGGCAGCTCATTTCGATTTCACATCTTTTTCTACTTTCTTGTAGTATTTGTATGGGGATCTTCTATTTTTCAATGATAACTCCTTGAGTCCTCCACTTTTTCATATACTTGGGGTAATTTTTTTACTTTTTTAAAGTTTTCTATAGGATCTCACTTCTTTTTGTAAATCATTTATTATATAGAATCTATTTTAAATTTATAAAAATAAAATTGATATTTCTGTAAACTCTACATAAGACGTTTAAATTATTATTTGTTTTTTTTTAATTGGATAGAGTAAAATAAAGGGAGAGGGGATAACAAAAGCGAATATATATATGAAATATATATATATTATATTATATATATATATATATTTCATATAATCTATTAATTATAAACACTTATTCGTTCAATTTATAATCAATTATATATACCTGCAATTTTTTTTCTTGTTGCAAGAAATTTTAATGTTAATGATGAAATGAGAAAATGACTCTATTTCTATAAGCTCTACATAAAAAGTCTAAATTCAAAACACTTTGGTGGTATGGATCTATATTAAAAACAGTTTTCTGTATGAATAAAGGTATCTGGCAATTCAGATTTTGACAACTTACCTTGTAATCAAGATCGATCAACACTGTACAACACTGGCTGCAATTTGTTATTAAACCCTAAATACAAAGTCTAAATTGAAAACATTTTGCTGATATAAATATAATTAATAATACAATAGTGTAAAAACTTTTGACACTTGGCAGGTTATGAATGATGACATCTGTTTCGACTCTCGACGCTTGATGGCCGACGAGCCATGCCGAACCGAATGATTCCGAAAGTCGACGAACGACACTCGGCTTTTGCTTAGCCCCTATTAGCTAAGGGTTGACGACGGGAAAATCATACGAAAAATACTGTTTTTGACACATTCATGACATGATATTACGATATCTCAGTTGTACGTGGACCGATTTTATTGATTTTGGTTTTATTCCAAAGCTTATATGCGGTTTGCATCAGAAAAATGCCTTTAAATTTAGAAAATATTACAGGGGTGTTGAGATATTCATGAAAGAAATGTCACGTTAGGTTGGAATGGACCATCTCTCCTGTAAAAAATACGTGGTAGCTCTAACGCCATACATACACAGTCTCGGATAATTTTTCATGTACTTGGCGCCGAGACGCTACCGCGTCTCTAGATTATATGATACTGGAATAAGTGATTAACTGTAACTATTTTAAAAATACCAGACTGTGCTCTTTTAAAAATAACTTAATTTTTAATAATGTTTTCGCTACAATTTTTGGTGACCGAGATTGGAATAGTATACACAATATATTGATAAATTGATTTACTCCTTGTTCCTTTAATACAAAAGATATACTAGTATGTTTAACAGCTGTAACGTTAACAGCGATGGCGGACCATTATGCTCGTTTGTTTTATTTAATTTCATGTTAAAATGTGCTCCAAGCTATTTTAAGTTTTAAGGTTACTGTTATTTAAACATTGAGATCGTAATAATACAAATAATAACTATGACAATAATCGATTGGTTTAAGAACACAGTAAAATAAGATATCGCAATCATCAAATCTATGCTCCGGGTGTCTCGATGTTATGATAGTCGCGATTGACTCTTTTCCCGTTGCGATCTTTCCATTAGAACGACGGGTTTTACGAGGACAAGAACGAGAGTATCGTATGTACGTCCTTCCGCTACGATTCATGCTGTTTTTGCTATTGCTATGGCATCATTTCAGTTTTATAGAGTGATCAAAGTATGCACGAGCCATTGTTTTGAATTTTAAATGTTTTATGATGTAGGAGGTTTATACAGCGATTGAGACGAAAGACGGATTCGGAGAAACATTTCCTTAAACGTGTTGAGACAACCAACCAACGAACAATGAGAATTAAATCTTTACACTTTTAATGGACTATTGAACGTGCGAAAGAAGGTTTTTGTTAAGAAATTTTGTTTCCCATAAGAAGTAATTGTGGAATATCAATATTTGTATACATTATAGAAAAAATATCAAACTCATAGAATTTTCTGGTTTACTTTTAATCATTCTCATCCATTATTAATCGTCACATGAATTTTCTCGTGATAATTTAGTGATGATATTTTAAACTTGGTGTTTCCTGTACTTCTCTACGTACAATGCATAGTAAATTTAGAGCTTTACACACAATTTCCCTGGGTACATGGGTCACGAACTTTTTACAAACCTTTCATTGCCTGGGTTAGGCCTGAGTTAGGTTCAATTAAAAACACCGTTTACCACGGTCACTCAATTTTTACTAACGTCCGCATTTCTCCTTAATTCATTGAAATTGTATAAACATTTCTATGTGAAGGACAATTAATTTTAGTAAGGTATTACTATCTTTATATAGCGTATATTACCTGCAATAATTTTTATACTTATACTTGTAAAAAGGTCATTAGATGTTAATTCTAATTTATTTTCGAGTTGCATCTGTCGCAAATACTGACTTCCTTCATTCGGTATATTATTGTGTTCTAAACTAAACCATCATATTTAAATGAAATGCTTTTAGCTATAATTTATAAACAACACTTTGATATCAAAGCTAAATTATGTCGTAGTGTTCGACGTAAATAATCCATCATTGATTAGACGAATCTCGAAATTCTAAACTCTGCAATCGGTCAGTTTATCGAATTTAAACTTGAATAGATTTCTAATTTGCGATATAATCGTTTGTCGTTAAATCAGTCCTTCCGTTCATTACACTCGATTCTACCGCCACTCCCAGTTACAATCTGTGCCCGTACTGAAAAAAGGAACGCTTCTGTGTCGGATAAATCGTTTCTCGTGTACAGTGTAATATCTATAACCAACCAGTTTTCCGAGACGTGGGCACAGAGTTGTAAATCGACTATCGCAGAATTCTTCGTAATACAAAACCGAATTGCTTTTATACCATACAGCAAAAGGAGGATATGTGGTCAATTTTATTAGGTTTATATTTCTAGCACTTTACACTGCGAGGTCTCATTTTATGACCAAAATGAAACATTGAAAGAGAGACATTTATGTCCGTAGCGCGAGCCGTTGCTGGAATCGTCGAGCCAACGGATAGCCTTCTTCTTCTGCCCACCTTTATCAAATTTTTGAAACGATTCTCTAGACTTACTTTTTTTTTAATACATATAAGTTTAATGTTCCATAAACTACGTTATTATTAGTGACAAATTATTTAAAAACTTACATCGAGCTATTAAAAATTGTTAGCGAAATTGGTTTTAGCTATGAATTTTAGTGTGTCTTGGATATTTTTGTCCTCGAGGTTGTCTTCAATGAGAGACTTTAAGGAAAGAAACTTTGTAACATTTTTATAAAAGTGATATTTTTATTGAGTAATTCTCGAAAGATATCGATTTCAAAGATTTTGTGTCGAAATTTGAAAAAAAAACATCTTTAAAATTGCTAGAGGTACAACGTTGAATATGGAGCAGTGTTAATCGCTCAACCGAAGAACTTCTGAAACTACTGAAACTTTGAATGCGTTTATCACTGAACGAACTTCTTAACCTATTGGCAGCTTTCTAAGGAAACTATAAGTCGTTTTTCTAATTAATTTTTTCCCATTTTTCTCAATCAAAAAGTAACATTTTTTCATGAAATTCAGAATTTTTTATTTCAAGGTCTCGCAATTTTCTAATTTGTTAAGACACCAATAAAATCCTGCATCAGAATTTTCAAGACATTTGTGTTTCAAATATTTTAAGAAAAGTTTTAGTTTTCACGTATTAGTTTAGTTTCACGTATACCCAGTTGTCGCAAAGCTGTTAAACAATTACAAGTGTTTTCATCTTTAGCAATACTCACTTGCTGTGGATTCGATTAACACGTCAATGACATTATCAGGCCGGTTTTTATTTGTTTGCTTATATGGTCAACAAAGCATACCAAAGAAACATATGTTGAATATACGTCTTTAAAAAGTGTTTTTACAGTGATCTGTCCCATTCATTTGTTTCTCGCATAAAGAGCATTGTACACTATATCACGCAGTTCAATAATAAATGATCAATTGCCATTTTTGTGTTACACTTCCTGTATAAGGAAGTTGGAGTTTCTGTTATCAAACAGAACGCGTGGGTTCATTTGAAATGACTAGACTGCGGATCTTTATGCAAAATAAAATCTTCGCGAACGTGCCTACAAAAATTGAACCTAAATAGGAATGTATTTTATTCTGCAAATATTATAACATGAACTTTACTTTCAATCTTTTTTATATTCTTGCACATTGTTTGCATTTTGCATTGACAATGCAAATGTTGTTCTAGTCTTTGAGGAAATGTTCTGTTATAAAATCATAATCGGCGCGCTTTTGGCCATCTTGGCGATGTATCGAATATGCCGATGCGCGTTTGTTTTTACGTCGGCACGATGCGATGTGTTCTATCGGTCGATCGCTACGCTGCGACACATGCGAACATGTTCGGTGATATTCTTGATATGCATTCTCCTTCATTCTGGTTCATTCTTTTTGTAGGTCATCATTTGGCAATTTACTTGGACTGTTCAGTTGTGTGTTAACAACTTCTTTGGCAACTGTACTGACTTTTTCATTTCCAAAAATTCTAGCATAACCGGAAATTTGTACAAATTCCAACATTTTTCCTTTACATACCACATAGATTTTTTCGTGAATTTCTAATATTTGCAGAATGATGCTATTCTTTGGGTTATTGGTTGTTTAGGTTTCTATCTTTAAAATGCGAAGTTTCTCAGTTCTCCGACTTCTTGATTTTCGAATTTCATACTTCTACAGTCCTCCAATCACGCTACGTGACGGAAGTTAAATTGCTGCTCGAGTGTATTTGTACTATAGACGTCTCAAATCACGAATTTCTAATTATTTTCTGAAACGTACGAGGTAGATAGTATCCATTAAGAAAGCTGACGAAGCATTTGCATAGCAGGTACGATAAATCAAAAAAAGCGCAACATCTAAATATCTCAATTCGCATTTCAAGTTTCAAAACTATGAATGATGAACTTGACGAATAGAATCTTATTTTTTTAAGGTTACTTTTCCCAGAGCTTTCAAGTTCATTGATAACGACGATATTATACTTACATTTAAAGAAATGGTTCTTTTCATTCCAAATTACGTAAGTAAGTAAAGTCGTCACTGGCGATCCGACTGTTATGGAATGTGTATTATATACGAGGTATACAGTGCCCGAAATTTCCAGAAAGCCACCACGTTTCTTGGTAATATCTTATAATTATTCTGTACTTATGAGTATGATTCCATTTTTAGGCTTATTAAAAACACGTATATATAGATTGAGATAATAGAAATAATATTTATTTAAAGAAATAAAAGTAAATATATACTTTTATATAAAATAAACTGCGAAATTTCTATAATGTTATATATTTTTTAAATAAGTAGGTTCAAAATTAACAGTAAGATCTTTTTTATTTCTTCATTAATAATCAGTTGAACTGCCATTTTTTCGAATAACTTCGAAAATACGATGGAGCATTGACGAAATCAAACTCTAAAGTGTGCCTTCTTGAATAGATGCTCATGCTTCGTTCACCGCTTTCCATAATTCAATAACAGTACTGTATTGCTTACAATTGACATAAACTTTCCTCGCGAGTAACCCCCAAAGATTTTCTATTGGGTTTAAATAGGGGGAACAACCTGGCCATGTCAAAATCCTGATATTTTTTTGAGCTAACTACTGCTTCGAGTAATTTGATGTATGGA